GCGGACACGTGCAGTTGAACGCAAGACTTACCGATACCAACTACCAGACGTGGCGCGTCGAGATTTGCTCCATTCTCGACGTCGCACACCTCTTGGACCCCATCATGGAGCGCGAAACGATGGCAGACCAACGTAACGAAGGACAGCGCGGCTGTTTCAAGCAACGACTGCGTGTTGCTCAACGTGATTTTACGATGGGACTTAGTCAAGAGCTACAGATGCGATTTACAAGTGTTATTCAACGTGCTGATCCTATCCTACTGTGGCGAACACTGAAAGATCATTTGGATAACCATCCTGGAGTAAACAGCGTGTTTCTCAAGCGAGATATGCTGAATCGTCGCCTGCAACGTGACGAACGACTTGACGATTACATTCGTGACATCGACGATTACCAACAAAGACTTCGCCGCGCGAACAAGCAGCTGCCTGAGCAGGAAGCCGTCTCTATCCTATTGTCAAATACAGTGGGTGTATACCCAGCGGTGGTAAACGAGCATGAAGTACGTATTGGACGTGATGAGTCCATTACGTGGAAGCAAGCGATCGAGCGCCTTCGACTCGCTGACCACTCACGCCAAGAGACTGAACTACAGCAAGGACGTGGTGGAGGTGGACGTGCCGTCCAGCGAGATGTTGCATTTGTTGGTGGCCGTGGCGACGGACACAACGACAGAAGAGGACGTCGAAACTCGAGCAGCAGCCAAGCACGAGGCAACAACAACCGCAACACTCGTCGCAGCCGCAGCTCATCGCCGCGTGGGCGGAACAAGCGGCAGAAGAGCAAGAGCTCATCCAGTGCGAGGGATGACATCGCCAAGCGAAAGGCGAAGACGAAGTGCAACACGTGCGGAGAGCAAGGACATTGGAGTGGCGATCCTGAGTGCTGCCAGCGTGGCAACAATAACAACAACAACTCGAGCAACCCGCCGCGCAGGATGATCGATGTGATTACTGTGAAGACAGCCAAGTCGGCTGCACCGAATCAAGCTGAAGGACAAGAGCATGTACTCGCGGTGCGTGACAACTTCAACTACAAGGACAAGGACAAGGACCAGGACATTGTGGAGTGGGTGTTGGATAGCGGCGCGCAGACCAACGTCTCGAGCGACCTTACCTTGTTTACGGAGCTACATGAAGACTCAGTTGCAGAGCTAGTCTTCGGCAACGGCACAACCGAGCGCGCAACTGTGGGCACAGTGCTTATGCAAGTGCTGAACGAGCACACGGGCAAGATCGAGGAGCGCCTCCTTGATGACGTGAGCTACGCGAAGTCGGCTGCCTACAATCTGATCTTGCAGACCTACATGCAATTCAAAGGAAACTTCAAGGTGCGCATCTCGCATGATCAGAAGACTACGTGGCTGGTCAAGGACACATTGAAGCTGCGCTTCAAGTACATCCGCGGGATGTACCGCATGTGGACGCCACGTCAGAGCAAGAACGTGATGAGCGTCAAGGCCAGTGAGGCTGAGAACCCCATGACGTTGCTGCACAACCGCATGGGCCACGTAAACATGGAGACTATCAAGACTATGGCAGGAAACTATAACTTTGGCATCAACATGCAGTCGAAGAATTTTGCTCTCTATGAATGCATTCCATGCTTAGAGTCAAAGACGAAGCGCATGAGCTACAAGCGCAAGCCGTCTCGCTCTGCAAAGCCCTTGCACAAGCTTTGTGTCGACCTATGCAGTGTTGGAGTGGATACAATATCGAAATCAAACCAGTTTCTATTGATTATCGACGAAGCTACGAGATACAAGTGGGGATATCTATTAGCCTACAAAGACGAAGCCACGGAGCTGATTCAGAAGCAGATTCGCTGGATCCAGAACCAGTTCCCGAAGGCGACCATCAAGATGCTGTTCTCCGATGGTGGTGGCGAGTTCGTCAACATGCAGCTCGAGACCTTCTGCAAGGACCTCGGCATCGACACGCGTTCATCCAATCCCTACAGCCCGCAGGAGAACGCTATCGTGGAGCGCACGAACCAGACCGCCATGCGGCAGGTCAGATCTATATTACAAGCTACGCAAATGCCTGTTTCATTATGGGGAGAGGCCTTCCTACATACAATTGAGACGCTCAACAAGACGCCGACGCCGGTGTTGAAGGACCAGCAGTCCCCGTACGAGGCCCTGTACGGAGAGCGGCCAGACCTCAGCGTGCTGCGCACGTGGGGGTGCTTGGTGCACGCGCACATCCCTGATGATTCTCGGCAGAGAAAGGAGAAGCTCACTCCAAGGACGCAGATGTGCTTACTACTTGGCTACAGCGAGAAGACCAAGGGCTATAAGCTGCTGAACCTGCGCACAGGATCAGTGACGACGTGCAGAGATGGAATCATGAAGGCACATGAGAAGTACACGGTGAACACTGTGTATATTGAGAAACTAATTGCAAACACCAGCGCTGGCGGAGTGTATGACTTACCTGCGGAGATCCCGATCGTGCCGATCCGGACGACAATGTCTACGTACCTGCAGCTTCCTGCAGAGCTTGCAGAAATGCGAGCAGCGGAGATGGCGAAGCTGGCCACTGCTGATGAGAGCCATGACCAAGGTGTTGAAGTTGAAGCCGAGTCTGCGACTCGAAGTGATGACCCACAGCTACCAAGCGAGGACGCTAAGAAGCCAGCAGCTTCAGTGGGAGGTTCCAAGCAGAAGAACACAAAGGGCAAGACTAAGGCGAAAGCATGTGCAAATCGAGTGGGAGCCTCAAAGGCCAAGGACAGTCGACGTGATGCTCACGAAGACGAGAACTGGGAGCCATGCACGACGCAGAAGTCGTCGCCAGACGACAGTGCAGCTACGTCGCGACCGAAGCGGAAGCGACAACCATCCGCCCGACTCAAGGACTACGTAGTGACGAATGTGACGAAGCAGAACGTCGAGGATGTGCAGATCCCCATTAGTTACAAGCATGCGGCAAGGTCAAAGAAGTGGAAGGAGTGGAAAGCAGCGATGCAAGTTGAGATGGACTCACAGCAGCAGCACGAAACTTGGGTGCTCGTGCGACGCACGGAGGCCAAGGGCAAGCGTGTCATTTCGTGCAAGTGGGTGTACGCGCTCAAGAGAGACTCTACGGGCCGGATTAAGCGATATGAAGCTCGACTGGTGATCAGAGGCTTTCTACAACGCATGGGCATCGACTACAGTGAAACATACGCACCTGTTATCAGATTTGAGACGATCAGATGCGTGATCGTATACGCACTGCAGCGCGGATGGGCCATCTTGCAGTTCGACGTCAAGACTGCATCTTGTACGGTGATCTCGACGAGGAGGTCTACATGGAGCAGCCTCCAGGCTTCGGAGAAGACTCTACGCGCTACGTATGCAAGCTACAGAAGAGTTTGTATGGGCTAAAGCAAGCGCCTCGCGTTTGGAACAAGACATTGCACAAGTTCCTGACGAAGATCGGACTCGAGCGCCTCGACTCTGACTACGGACTCTACGCCAGGAAAGTGGGAGGAGAAGTCACCATGTTGCTCACGGTGTACGTCGACGACCTACTGCTCCTCGGCCCTAGTGACCTTTGCGCTAAGGTTGCTAAGCAACTCAGTGAGGAGTATGAACTCACATCTCTCGGACCAGTCAAGTATCTACTAGGCGTGGAGATACTAATCGACAGCGAGCGTCGACATGCGGTATTTTGCCAGCGGCAACATATTACGGAGGTGCTAAAGCGATTTCACATGGAGGGTTGCAACGCGGTTGCATCACCGGAAGCGCTGCGCGCTGAGGTGGTCACAGATGCGAAAGATGACTCCCCGCCCCCGTACCGAGAGCTCGTTGGTGCACTACAATATCTGGTCTCAGCCTCAAGGCCGGACATTGCGCACGCTGTGCGTAATCTCAGCAAGTACCTGTCCTGCTTCGACCACACACTCTACGCTATGGGAAAGAGGGTGCTACGCTACCTGAGTGGTACTCAAGACCACGGCTTAGTGATGGACATTGTTATTGGGAACGACGTCAAGCTGACGTGTTACACCGATGCTGACTACGCTAATGACCCTGATGACCGAAAGAGTGTTAGCGGGTTCGTGACGTTCGTCAATGGTAACGTGGTTTCGTACGGATCAAGAAAGCAAGAGATTAACGCACAGAGCACAACGGAAGCAGAGTATATTGCCATGAATGAAGGCACTAGAGATCTACAGTGGCTACGTGGACTCTGTGAAGAACTATGCTGGGAGTTCGCGACTCCGGAGATTATCGGCGATAACAAGTCGTGCATCTATCTGACTGCCAAGCCTGGCAAGCACAGCAAGAACAAGCCCATTATGAACAAGTTCCACTTGGTGCGCCACCTCGTGGAGGACGAGCAGCTACGGATTCGCCATGTTGGCACCGACGACATGATCGCCGACGCGATGACGAAGCCATTGCCGAAGGACAAGTTCGAACATTGCCGTGAGGGGATGAAGGTGCTGCGCATCGACCGTCAGCAAGGCTCAGCTCGTTCAGTGGGAGCCAAACATCATCGCCATGCGTGAATGCAAGCTACTACTACCAGTTCATGCATGCGAAGGACAAGAAGGAGGAAGAGCGCTACCAAGGACGAAGCGTCGTGCTGCAGCGCAGCTAGAAGATGCCAAGGACATCGTGGTGAGCTCTACAAGGTGATCATGTTGAAGCTGCGCTTCGACTAGATCAAGTGGGAGTGAGAAGTGTGGAGGAAGAGCCAGGACTGCGTCCAGCTCAATCCTAAGGCTCAGGTGCCTCCAGGACGCGATGCTCGCGTCCAGAAGCCGGACTTCGACGGACCATTGGCTGGCGAGCCGCCAGCCCCATCCTACTGCTAATCCTACCAATATATGCTACCGGGGTTTTTCCGTGTGCTGCTGCACACTCGACAACTTGCGCCGTCAAGAGCAAGCAGCAGCACTCGGTTTTCTCCCCTGCTGGACTTTCAGTCCCTGCAACTTACTGTTGTTACGACTACTTCCTTCATCACAATGGTCACCACTCGGCGTAGCCGAGGAGCGACCATCACTCAGTACCGGGCTCTTTGTCTGCCCACGACCACACCTAAGCCGCCATCCGCGGTGTCCAAGGCGATGAGGCCCACGACCCGTCGTAGATACTTGGGAAAACTGTCACCGTATATATTGCGCGTAAGCCTCCTGTTGCAGCGAGCGAAACGTACCGAAGCTATTCTGACCACGACCGGATCCAGTTTGTGTTGCTGCAATCGTGATGTCATTGATCAGACGCTTGGCGTCCCGATGAACTCAGCCGTCAGCTGCTTCTTGGCCATGCACATGTCGTACAGACTGTATGCAAACCCCCGTCTTGGTGCTTGCGAGGTCCAACACCTGGTGACCAGCGCTACTAGACTCGTTGATGCTACCGCCTGCCCACATGCCCTTGGCCAGGACGTCGAGCGCCATCACTGGAGCTAGCAAGTCTCCAAATGTATCGATGAACAGCGTGTCGATGGCGTCGAACTTGTCCGATCGCTTGATGTCCGCACCAGTTTCCAAATACACCACTACGAACTCCGTCGGGTGCGCGCTCAGATACGCATTGATCTCGTCCATGGAATCTTTTGTCAACGGCTGCTCGGACACTTTAATACCGGAGATCGACGGGAAGCGGCCCAACACCTCCGGCCCCCAATTGCGTCTTGCCGAACGCTCCGAAGAACCCAATCACAGCGTCCGAGCGAAGGTTGCCGCAGCGAGATCGTTGAGGAAGAAGTGTGTGTCGACCTCGATGAGCCTAATGCCGATATCGAGTTGGTCCGTCACACTCAGCACCTGGTCGTTCGTCTTGACGTAGGGATGCATTAAGCTAACACTACAAGAACCTCGAATTGAACCTTTTCAATTTAGCTTGTATCCTCGGCATGACGAGAATATCCCTGATCGTGTCATCCTTTAGAGCACCATGCCGCTTGGTTACCGTATTGCCTGCCGTGGAAAATGCACGTTCGGAAGGTATTGAAGTGGCTGTACAACCCAGCCATTTACGAGCAAGAGGAGAAATTGTTGGAAACTGCGTGCGATTTTGTTTCCACCACGAAAGGGCCGACGGCAGCTTCTTCCCCACAGCTCTACGAGATAGTCTAAATGGCAGTCGACTTGGAGCATCCTGTTGTGGTCTAACTAACTTCAACTTGCCGCAAATTATTGTTTCGATTTGATTGGCAATCCTAACTGATTTTAACCAATCAGCAGTAGCGATTTGTCTGGGTGTCGGCAAAGCGTCGACAGGACGTCCCTCGTAAATTTCGGACGTCCCTCTCGAGCGACGTCGAGTCGACATCCAAGACCGCGACGTCGACAGCTCTAGCCTGGCGTGGCCTCGAAGACGCTGAGAATTTGTGGACATTCCATGTGCAAAGCACAATACTACTACTCGTACCATCAACGTTGCCAGGATTAACTGCAGCTTTGAAACCCTTGAAAGCGGTTTTTCGCGTACATACTCGAGCGCAATCCATTTGCGAGCACCAAGCCGATGGAATTCAAAAACGTCTTGACACTCGTGAAGCCCGAATTTCTTACGCCATACAAGGAGTATTGACAACATTCTGGGCGTGCATTAGCGACTGATAATACTGTAGTAGATTGTGCTCAGAGAAGGAGAATAGTGGATTCCTCATTCGAAAACCACATTTTGTCATGCCGTAGGTAGGGTAATTTATAGACCTTATTGAGGCACAAAACGCGGCCAAGATTAAGGCCATGATACGTATTTAAACGCGAAAAATAGTCCTGGCTGCTTTTTTTTAGTTGATCTCAATTTTCCGGCAATTAAACCAAACCAATTACTTAAATTTATTTAATTTAATTTTTTATGTTTTTTATTCAAATGATTATTTTGTCGTGCATTTGCCATTGCAACATAGCAGTGATAGTAGTAGAAGTAGGAAAAGTAGTAGAGCAAGTACTACTGTAATATTTGTGATACGCAGTTAGAAAACAAAACAGGCAAAAACGGTTTATAAACCAGGCTTTCTTTTAAAATATAGAAAATCAACCCATCACAAGCTGTCCAAAAGTACTAAAACGCAAACACGAAAAGGAAAGGAGAGGCGAGACTGATATTTAATAATCAATCGACTGATATCAATCTCACGTAGAAATTTCGCGGCGGCAAGACGGGCACCGAGCTCGTTCTCCATCTTGCTGGGCATTACGCACCAGAACACCCAAGCAAGCCTTGTGGAGCTCGTGGCCACATTCGTCCAGCTTCACCGTGTTCCCTGATGCCAAGTCTTGGCCACAAATGACACAGTTCCGCTCATGGTCCGGTTTCGCAAGTGCCAGACCCGCTCGAGTGCTCAGTGAGGCCGAGATACTGAAGAATGTCGCCTTTAGCTCATTACCTGTAAGCACATGGTGATACGTTCCACCCAGCTTTTCTGCAACACGCTCCAGCATATTCAGATTAATACTTCCAAACCCCACTGCAAAAGCCTGCAACCCGTTCCTTTCGTAACACCCTCTGATGTGCGTGGCAAGTTCTTCGCCCTGAAGCGGGTCACAAGGGTGTCCATCACTGAAAAACACAATCGCTGGCTTGAACATGTCGAAATTCACTCGGGAGAGAACCTCGTTAGCAGAACGAAGGCCCGCAGCGTAGTTCGTCCCTCCACCGCGATACTGGATCCTGGCATTCGTCACCGTCGTGATGCTCCGAGCCTCGTACACGATTTGAGCGGAGTTGTCAAACGTAACTACAGAAACCAAGTCCAACGTAGCTCCATCCGCGATACGATTGTACACGTATTCCTTCCACGCAGCCATGAGATCATTCCAAGGTTGTCCGTTCATTGAACCGGAGCAGTCCAGAACGAAAACGTGATGCATCTTGCCTCCACTCGCAGCGTGCGAGCACTTGAACTTGTGTCCGCTGACATACGTAAACCCATCAAAGCCAGTAGGCTTGGACTCTGGTGTGTGCCACGCTGGGAGAACGCAGAACGAAGGCTTCTCGTCGTGCTCGGGAGCGTCACACTTGTATCCACACTTGCCAAAAAGTTCCAGCTCCATCTTGGACGTGCACGGATCTTCCCACCCTAGCGTCTTCCAGAACTGCTCATGAAGAACTTCGTCCGTCTCTTTTTCCGGCTTCGGCTCCAACGCTCGCGTGCAGTGACGACGTTGATCAGCTGAACTTCCAGAGTATACACAATTCGCTTTACTGCCTTGCTCGCAATCCAAGTAGTGCACGTGCTCACGACCCATTTTGGAGCAGTACAAGTTGCACATCTCCGCAATTCCCATCTCCCCCGCCTTGTACTTGCGCTCCTCAATGTCGATTTCCTCTGCGTCCGACAAGAAGTAAGTGTTGCGCATATTGCCGTGCGCCGTCGTGTGCGAGCCAAAATGTCCGTATTTCTTCTTGCAAAAGTAGCTGCAGCACGGACAGCGGACATCGCAGTAGTGGATAGTCCTGTCTTCATCGTCTTTCTCGCTCTGCTCACAGATGCAAGTGTGTGCCCCGTGGTGCATTTTTTGGCCCGGAGGTAACAACTTTGTGCATTTCTTACGAGAGCCATTCATCTCTTGGAAAGTGAACTGGAAACTGCCACGAGCACCCGAGAACGTCTTGGACGATTGCTTGAGAAACACATCCACTCGACAGATTCCATTCTCTTCACACATGGCTTGACACTCGTGTCCATTTTGACACATGTGAACGACTGGAGCTTCGGAGGCGGCATCAAAAGTGTCCGATCCTTTCTCGTCATTCTCCGCTGAATACACCACTGCAACGTCCACTTCACCGTGGAAATGATCCGTCGTACCACAAACTTCGTTGCAGCCGTCCATAACGCACTTCTGCATACAACGCACTTCGACGCACTTGTGGGCTGTATGAGGGTCTTCCACGTTCAAAACACAGCGACCAGAGCAGTTTTGAGCCGAGCATTCGTCCCCACAAGTGTGAACTGGAACGTCGCACTTGTGTAGATCAGTGTGGCTCCTTTTCAACGAGCATTTCTTGCCGCAGTTGGGCGAGTTTGCCATGCAACATTCTTGACCGCACGTGTGATCCCCATCACGACATTCACATTTGCCCTCGTGGCCAGATTCGTTGCCGCATGAAGGGGTTTTGCCGACACCTTCACTATTCTTGCAGTACTCGCAGCGACCGGCACAGATGTGGTTACCTCCACAATCATGGTGATCCGTTCCTGGGTGCGCAGCAGCTTTCATGCACCCAAGTCTGCAATCGTCACATTTACTTTGACAACGTGTAAGGAGCATTTGGAACCTCCCCAGGAATTGCTGCTCCATAGCTTTCCATTCGTCAGGCACCCGACCTCCTAGCATTTGCTTCACCCAAAGCGAGATTCGGGCCTTGCGACGGCGCGCAAAGAATGCCAAGAATGCGTCGAAGTCGGCAACAATTTCTTGCGATACTTTTCCACCCTGGATCCTGGCATTTGCCCGCAGGAACAGGCGAAGTAGCTGCTTAATCGCACCATAAACGTGGGCAATGGTATCGTCACTTGAGGAACCGCAGTCGAATTTCAGATCGATCTCCCAGTCTAGGAGCGAATCAAGATCGACAAACTCGTTAAGTCTTCTCCACTTTTCACCCAAAGCAGGATACTCGGCAATCATCGACGCCAAATCCATATCGATCACTTTGCCGGTGCCAGCAACCACGATGTTTTCTTTCAAGTACGGAGCAATGTCTTCTTTCCTTGATACGTACTCCTGAGGAATGATGCAGCCAGTTCTAAGAAGTCCTGGTAGCTTCGAGCTGATCTCAGACAGATGAAACTGCTTTGCACCTTCATCCAGTGACGTCCAATCCAAAATCGCGATCTTTGCTAGCACCAAGCGGATGCAGTTTAAAAACGTCTTGCCGCTTCGGAAACCCTCGGTATCAATGCCACACAAGGAGCTCTCGATAAAATCCTGAGCGTGCATCAGTGACTGGTAATAGTTAATCGTGCCCAGAGGTGGAGAGCAGTTGATATCCAGTTGACCAGAGTACAGATCTAGCAGGAAGTTATTGTCCTTGTTCGCACCAACCAATTTCTGAAACTTGGCGACAAACTCGTCCAGCACCCCCTTTTGATCGTTCGGGTTCACGTCCTTCACCGACATGTACAGTTTGCCTCGAAAGAGAGTCGGGTCACCCTTGATCAGCGCCACCCCCTTCTGGAAACGAGCAAACAAGTCGTCGATCTCCTTATCGAATCGCATCTCCATCCGGAAAATGGTGAACATCGAGATGGAAGCGTTGAGTACCGACAGGAAAACGTCCTCTTGTTCCGTTCGCTCGAAAGACCCGAGACCCTCAAAGTCAAGCACCACGAGAAGAATATTCTTTGGCAGGATCCGGATCGACATCCACGCTCCGTCAGTGCATCGAGCGCCGGCGATTGCAAAGGACGATCCCGTCAAGTGGTTTAGCAGATAACTCTTGCCTGTCGATTGTTTCCCCATCGAAGTGATCACTATACAACGCCCTTGCCATGACTCGAGCAAGGGCGACAGCAGCCCGAACCGGATCGAGCGTGCAATGTCAACAGCTTGAAGATTCTGCGCTTGGGTGTCCATTGGCGTCGCCTTGCCATTCGTCATGACCGTTAGCGAGTTTGCCTCAGCTCGACAAATTTGAATCGGAACGAACGTGATCAGCTCCTGGAGAAACGTTCGAATAGGTTGTGTTGCCACGCCCAATCCAGGATTCGACTCCGAGACGAACTCCAAATCTCGAGCGAAGTCCATTCCAGCCAGAGGTTTGTTTAGTTTTCGCAAGTCGCGCATCAAGACCTGGAAGAAGTATCGGCAGTTCTCTCTAGTCGACTCCGTCATTGCAGCATTGCACGTTAAATACAGCTTTAACGTTGCTCCGGTGTCATCGACGCCTCGAATCAAGCCACGTACTGGAAACTTTTCGTACGTGTGGTAGAATGCTCGAAGCCAGTGATCCACCTCGTTATCATCCACTCCATCAACCTCCGTCTTGCTACCGTTGACCGAGTGTTCTTTCGAGTGCTGAATTCGGAACGACTCGCTTCTCACAGTCACTGCCATACGGCACACACAAACTTTCTTCTTCTTGTCGTTCACTGCGAACAGCAAGTCACCAAAACTTTGAAGTGACAAACCCTTTGAACGGAGGACCTTTTCTCCCGTATAATCGACAGGGATTTTGCGCAAATCCTCACTGGCCACGGCAAATAACTCGGCACGTCCATCGTCTTCGGTCAAGTCTTCGCCTGCAGACTTCCCCACAAAACCCAGTACCATGTTATCCGCCGTAGCGAACAGCGAACGGCTCGGTTCACAAGGTCCTGACGGCATGATTTGTACTGCTCGAGATGTTTGCTGGTTTTTCAGATTCACCGACTGGATCGATCCATTTGTGTCAGTTGCATACAGCGAACCATCAACCAGGAGGATATCGGCAACGGGAAGCGTCAACGACGTTCGTAGCGACAACTCAACTCTCTTGTAAATTTCCAGCGACGAGAATGTTTCGTTGAATCGGTAGAGCACCACTCTTCCACCTTCCTCCACGAACGCCACGAGGCGCTCGTGAACATTCAAGTCACACAGCGATGCCAGTCGACCGAAGCAGCGTGTAAACGAAACTTTCCCGATTGTATCTCCCCACCAAGAACGCTGAAGAGGGAAATCTACGCGTTCTACCAACGTTCCTTTCGGAGACGTAGTCACCAATACGACACAGTGGTTTTTGAGAGTGAACGCTTTGAGAATTTGCGCCCCTGGCTCTAGACGATGCGTGCCCAGTTCAATGGTACTAAACGCTCCGTTGTCTTTCTGAACCAACTTGTAAATCTTCAACTGGTCAGTAGCAGGCTTCCATTGCTCCTTCTCGACGTCGCAGAAAATCGTAATCTGCCGCTCTCGTGGACGGACTGTAGTCATAAGACCTCCTTCGTGTTGCCCACGCCAAGCATGAAGCAGATTAGTGAAAGCTTCCGAGATGATTGTTTTTTCATCGGTTTGGCACGATTGACCCAGGGACTGCTGCGTCTCCTCACTCCATCTCTTTAGTAGAACGCCGTCGGCGATAGCTAAGACCGTCTCAATTGACTGAAACCAAGCTTGTCGAGCCTCGTTCAACGGCGCCACCATGCATTCACGGAACTTTTCCGACAGAGACTCAGACTCTTGCTCTCTAGGCCACACCCTCTTCCATGCTCGTCCAAAGAGCCCATCACTGTCAGTCTCAATCTTCGTATCGAAGACTGTGAACTCTCGCATGAATGTTGCGAGGGACTCAGCTACATCTTTATCAGGACCATTAGCGAGGTGATCGCGGAACGTCGAAGTAATCGCTTTCATCTGGTTCTTGAGACGCAGTGGTAGGTTTAACGTCACTTGTGTCGAGGCGCCAAGTTTGCTCCAGATACCGCGGTCTGACTGAACGTCCTGCACGTATTTGTTCAGAGTCACGAAAGCAGCTTCGTCTTTTGCTCCCTTGTATAGCACGTCCAAGTCAAACAAAGTCTCCATGTAGCTAAGTAATGTTGCACGATGATCCTCAATGTACGCTTGAACTCGCTCCATGGATTGTTCGACCGAAGCTTGTAGACTACGATCAAGCAAGTCCTTAACCTCCTTCAGCTCCCTCTCAGGCCATCGGCCAGTGACATGCAGCAACACATTGCGGAAGTGGTTGGGGCCCCGATTATCAATTTCGAGGCGCAGATTGCGTTGCTTCGACTCATGTGTCAGCCAACTGGCGAATTCCGTGACGTTGTCAAATCTTTGGCTACTCATCTCTTTGCATTTTGTCGCTGGAGCTGGCTCCACCACGGAATACGCTGGATAGCTTCCCTTTAGCAGCTGAGCCTTCTGGGGCGAAGAGTTCATTGGTAGCAGCAATTCCCCCAGTTTTTCACAATGCACGCCATCCTTCTGCTCCTCCTGCCGCTCGACATGAAACGCGACCGAAAAGGATCTCCAGGCGTCCAAGTTGTTGGAGTTCATGGAAACGACGGCTCGATCAAGGAGCTTGACGTCGTCAGGCGACAAGCAGCACACCATGTTGGGGCTCAAGCACGTCAGGAAACGCAGCACGTACGTCGCTGTATCACGCAGCCGGGACTTGCAGAACATTTCGTCTTGGATCCATCCAAACAGCACCAACACAGTGCAGTCGTCCTGCTGAGCGACGCAGTAGATTCCCTGATCCTCTGTCCTCAAGTTGCTGTCCATGTCGACCGACCAGCATCCACGTCGCTCGAGCTCTTGCTTCACCGCCTTTTGCTTCCCAAATAGAGATACCACCTTGATACCGCCTGCCTCGTGCGTCTCGTCCGTCCCAAAGATCTCCTTACGCAGGAAGAGCACGAAGTCGTCGTCGAATTCTTGGGCATCCAGCATCTCCATTTCAAAGTCTTTCGCATTCACCGACGACAGCATTCCAAGGGACCAACTCAACCGCATCACCTCCAATTCTTCCAGGACAGGCTTCATGACTTCAGCATCGTTCTGCATCTCCGGAACCAAACCCAACAGACGAAAACAGTCCGAGCTGATGAGCTTCTTGTTGGCACCGAGCTTGATGCGCATAATTTCACCCCGCGTCTTCTCGCCTTGGTCTCCACTTGCTGTCTCCCGAGAGTTTTAAGGAATGGCATCAAGCGGGGGAGCACTGGCGTGCCTTCTTGAAAGCTGGGACCCGCCACTGCATTGGGAAGATATGACAGTTGATGACCACACAGAAAGCTAACAAGATTGATTAACCGCATGTTGAATTACTGTTGAGCGCAGAACTGCAATTTTTAACGCTTGATTCCTCGATTTATTCTGACGAACAGGAGCCCTCGCTCACGTACAACGTTGACGTTCAAACTGACGCTCGATCTCTTTCCTGTGGCCTTTCTCATCGCATACAGTTGGTCGGCCGCCAACGCGTGGCTGAGCCGCTCAAAAGCGCTTTGGAGCTCTCTTTGCGTCGTCATCATGAGCTCTTCTTCGAAAGGGGCTCGCTCACACGCCACCCACTTGCTAACGAGGGATTTCTTCAACAGATCGAGCACTTCACCGACAGCTCTAATCCAATCGCTGACCATCATGGCAAGCGGCGTCGAAAGCTGCTCGCGAAACTCCTCAGGAAGTTGACTCAGACACGAGAGATCCAACGGCGTAAAGGTACCGACACTGGCCACGACGGAAAGTCCGACGGAAAGCTTGCGCTTCTTTCGCCCGGCTACCGCAGTGTATTCCCCAGCAAACAGTGTCAGTAGTTCCATCGCCTCATTAGCCGCGACTTGGTGGCCACGTTGCGCCAACGTACCCACACCTTGAAACAGCGGCTCGAGCTTCAACGGTAGCGTCAATACCGCCCACAGACGCGCATTTTTCTCCATCAACTGTTCGTAGAAGCTGTCGACGCTCTTGAGTTCGTCTACAAACGCTAGTAAAACGTCTCGGACTTCCGCTCTCGGCATGGACGCTGGATGAGTTAGTGGTTGGAGCAAGTTAAGCCAGAACAGAGCTGTAGCACCTGCCAGTAACTTCCCTTGCAGATCCCGGAGATATAACTGCACGTGCTCCTGACATTGTCGCTCTGCTTCTTGGCTCAGTTTCTGCCATTGTTCGGTTGCCTCAGAAATCTTCATTCCGGGCCAACGGTGGAACTTGCGAAGTAAGGCATCACGCACTTCTTCGCTACGTTCGCAGCAACTCAGCTTCAGCTTCATGGGGCGGAACTTTGCGCTATTGAACACCCAATCGGCCAGTTCCTCGGCGCTATAAAAATTCAGGAAGCACCTGCGCATTGGTGTCAGCACTGTAGTCTTCAAATTGCTCTTGTCTTGGTAGTTTGGCTGCTTCAGCCTATCACCGTACGTCTCCATGACGACGTCGCCCTGGTATTCAATCGTCTTGCCTTCTTCTACGACGCTCTTGGACTTGACCCGTTTTGAGGCTCTGCTCAACGCTGAACGCTTGCGCCGTGCTGTCATAACAAATTTTCGCTTTTGAGTTCGATTGTCCGCGACTACACTCCTCGTCCCATTTCATTCACTTTTCAGCGTTTACATCTATCAGGATACTTATATGACAATTACTGAAAGTTATTGTCAGTTTTTACAGTGTTGCAAAGGAATATGCAAGCTTTTCTGACGCAACTACGTGTAGTAGTCCTTGATGTTGCTCTATTCCAGCATGGTTTCCAATGGTGATCATCGCTCAGTTTGACACGAAAGCTGCGTTTTCACCACTTGTTTGGTTGGTGCTAGGAAATCAACATACGTCTCTATTATAGTCGAACAACATTATTCCTACCCGGATAGTTCAAACCTAAGCGAGCATGGAATTTGCGTCGTCGTCCGAGCAGCTTCGCGCAACTGTGGTCGGCTTTAAAAACTGAGCGTTTTCCAACAGAGCCGTTCGTCGAGCCCGGCACTGCAGGGGGATGGTACCAGGTGCGACATATTAATATTAAGTGAAAGGGCTTTACAAAGCTTAAATGTAGTTCTGACCGAGGCACACACTAAGTGCGATGAGGAGAGGGGCAGGAACTTCCTGAGGGTAGCAATAGGTTGAGGAATAGGGGTCAATTAAGGAATTAATAAACCAATAAGTTTACATTTAATTTAACATCTCAAGTAAAGGGCACTTGGGCAACTCGTGTAACAGAGCACAACAAACCTCCCTATACAAAAACCTCGGTAGCTCATTATAGGTATACCAGGAGGTAGTCCAATTATGGCACCACCAGCCATTCTTGCAGCGGCATGACACCGCCGCTGCTCGCTACTTTAATATCACTTCTTCTTTTCTCGTCTTTTCATCAAGTACTCCTACGCTCTCTACGATACCTGCCATAGGTTATGAGCTCAAGCCAAGCCTCAAGCGACGACTTCCCCCGACTTGTCGGCACCGACAACTTCGACGTGTGTAGACCCGCGTGTGCGCATCTCTCGATGGCAAGCACCTCCTCGGCTTCGTGACCAAGCCCGAATTCGATGGCATCTCCGACGAGGAAGCGAAGGGAGCGAGAGCGACATGTCCGACGTGGACGATTCGCCAAAGTCCAAGCCGGCAGACGTCGCCCAAATCGTCTTCGACGCTGTGGACTACGACGAGTCCGACGACGACCTCAAGCCGCCGTCCGGATCCGACAATGAAAACTCCGACAAGAGCTCTGACTCTTCCGCCAAGGCCAAGACGCTGCCGGTCGTACGCCCAATCAACCTCCGCAAGATGCGAAAGGAGCGCCCCTGAGCCAGCGCGAGCGCCGTCGCCAGGAAGCCAAGATCAAAGCGTTCCTGATGAAGACCATGGATAGCACGCACGTTCGGCTGATCCAGCATCTCACGACTTCGTACGCCATCTACACGTACATCTGCAAAAAGTACGAAGGCGCAGCGCTCCATGGCGACCCCTACTTCACCCAGCACTGCTTGATGGAGATCAAGTACGAGGGAGGCTCAGATTAAACTGAGTTAGTTTTGAAGCTGGAGAACGCAATGAAAGCCGCGTCTGAAGCCACCAAATCGGTGATGGCCGAGAGCCAGAAGTCAATCTATCTGTTCCACTCGATGCCCAAGTCCTAGAAGAACGATTTCCGCATCTGGAAGGGCCAACGGAAGCACATCTTGTATAAAACCCTCAAGCAGAGTGTCGAAGGCAAGGTCCGCGACATCTAAGCTCAGGAACGATACACGCTCTCGAAGGGAACACCCGAGACAAGCGACACCAAGAATGAGCGTGCTCTAGTGGCTACCGGACCTTCTGCCCAGCGTAACGACACTCGTGGTGAAGATATATGCCCCTACTGTGACCGTCCGCGTCACAACATTCGTCAAAGTCGTGGCCTGCAGAAAGATCTGCGAGGTGGTCGAGTGAAGGCTGGCACTGTCTTCCTTGCCAACTTTGCATTCAAGAACACCGTGACTCGAGCGCATCCCTACCGCGGCTCCAAGAACTGAAACAAGGACGCCCCAACAGCAGAGGTGGTAACAACCACAGAGACAAAAACCGTGGTGGCCGTGGCGAGAAGCACAATCATGCGAATCGTGGCAAGTACCGCGGTCGTGAACAAGGCAACAATCGTCCGTTTAAATCCGACAATGACGACGACGGCGACAATGACTGCGAGAACTGTCGCAAGGTGTTTCATCAAGGCCGTCGCGATGTTGGTTTGATCGCAGTTGCAACGTCGATCAACGCACGAGTGAGCCTCGCAGCCAAAGCCAATGCTCAACTGGACCCTACCTGGACCATCGACTCCAATGGTACGCGCCACGTGACGCACGAATACAAGTGGTTCAGTGACACCTCCGCAAGTGGTGGATCGATCACTGTGGGAGGCAACAACCAGATCCCAATAGAATGCTTTGGACGTGTTGAACTGGAAGTCACTGACTCCAAAGGCAACTTGAAGACGCTCACCCTTCATGAGTTCTGTACGCGCCACTACTGCAGTTCAACCTGCTGTTAGTCCCGGCCTCCGTGAAGCGAGACTACCGCTTCAGCTTTGATCGCAAACAGTGTGCTGTACAGACAGTCCAGCGCTTCAAGATCAAGGCGGCAATGGCGACCAACACTGATATGTATCAGTTTCAGGCTCAACCAGTGGTGACCGCAAAGACACTTGTGGCTTCGGGTAAACCGCGATCTTTTCTGCTTTTGCACAAACGTTTTGGCCACCCTAACGCTCGCATTCTGCGCGAACTATCAAGGAGCCAAGCCATTGGTGGACTCGATGACTCTGCAGCTGTAGACCGGTCAGCTCGGTTCTTCTGTACTGCATGCACGTTAGCGAAGTCACACCGCGCACCATTCTATTCTAATAGAGTTGTTGAACGTGCCACATCTTCCTTGGGAAAAGTGCATTCAGCTATCTGTGATCCATTTCCTGTGACTAGCCTTACTGGTTCCAATACTTTGCGATCTTTATCGATGACTTCTCCCGATTCATGTTCACCTATCCTATAAAGAACCGATACGAATGCTATGAGACCTTCAGGAGGAAAGCCCAGAACATCTACCGACGCGACGTCAATGTACTTCAGCATACTCACGTCATTGAAGACCACGATATTCAACGGTTTCAAGCGGATAATGCGTAAGAATACGAAAAACTTGGCCGCATAGTCTTTCAGAAGTATGGTACCCACGCCCAGTTTACGAACGCGTACACACCTCAGCAAAATGATGTTGCTGAACGACGCATGCGAACTATCATGGAACGGGTACGAGCACTACTGTTGGACAGAAAACTCATAAAGCAACTCTGGGCGGAATGTGCCTGTCCCGTGACCATGCTGATCAACATGACACCTAGCGCCAAGACAGCCCAACGCACTCCATTTGAAATGTGGTATAACCGACTACCATCCATGCAGTACGTGAAAGTGTTTGGATACAGTGCATACGCTCACATTCCTGATCAAAAATCGAGACAAACGCAACGCCAGAGCTAGACTGTGTATGTACCTTGGCGTCCCGAATCACAAGAAAGGATACCGTCCGATGGAACACAACACCCATGCTATTGTTTACAGCAGGGATGTAGTCTTTAAAGAGGATAAAATCCCCTCTCTCGCCAACTTGACGTCCACTTTGGAACCAACACAGGATACGCAGATGCAACAACCTGCACCTCCATCAGTACCTGAAACTGCAACGAATGCACCTGCAATGGTCACATCCGTACCGCCTACACCTGCAGAGACCATCAATCAGCGCAGACCTCCATCATTCAGGGAGGCGCTCGATGGTGATAAAGTGATACACAACTCATTTAGAACGGAGACGCGATTTGATCCTCCATCTCCTCCTGCACCTAAGCGACCCCGTCTTATACATGACACGGATGTAACGTTCAATTCTGAAGAAGATTTACAGGAAAGGAAGAGCGTAAACAGTTACTGTACACTTTTCTCGCTATTCGGTATGTGTCAGAGCCCACTACGTATCGAGAGACCATACAGTCTTCTCATGCTCATCAGTGGTCCAAAGCAGCAAATTCGGAATACAAGTCCCTCATGGACAATAAAACAAGGGTGCTGGTACCACCACCTCAGGGACGGAAAATCTCTTCAAGCCGATGGGTCTTTGTAGTAAAGTATACCGGCACAGGATATCGACCGCTTCAAAGCGCGTCTGGTGATTAAAGGCTTTCTCCAGGAATATGGCATTGACTACAATGAGATCTTCTCTACAGTGATTCAAATGGAAGTCCTCCGACTCCTCCCTACGGTTGCAGCCTTACTCGATCTAGAAATCCATCAGATGGATGTCAAAACAGCATCTCTGAATGGCTTCTTGGAGGAGGAAATCTACATGGCTCAACCAGAAGGTTTCAAAACCCCGGGTAAGGATCACCTAGTGTGCAAACTTCTTAAAGCCTGTACGGGTTGAAACAAGCCCCACGTGTTTGGTATCAGACACTTTCTGCCTTCTTTGAGAGTCTTGGGTGTCACAAGCTCATCAAAAACCGCTGTGTTTTCTGTCGCACGCGCGACAATGTTACTTGCTACATCGCGGTGTATGTTGATGACCTTCTCATTATTGCACCAACACCAGACCTCGTTGGCGAGCTGAAATCAGCTTTAAAGAACAGGTTCTCCATGACAGATTTAGGGAAGGTGACGTACTTACTCGGCTGGTCTATTCGACGTGACCGTAAGAACCAAACGATCTTTATCCACCAACACAAGTACGCTACGAAGGTCCTTGACCGCTTCAGCGAATACATTCCGTACTCGATTGCAACCCCAGCAGAGAGGAACGTTAAACTTTCCTCAAACAGTCAACCAAGCAATGA